CCCACCAAAACATGTTCCTAAAAAGACTTCACCAACGCCAAACCACGAACCTTTAACGACACTGGAGGAATGATCACCCTGAAACGATGGATCGAGAAGGTGGAATCGGTATTCGAGATATGCGATTGCCCTGAGGAGATGAAGGTGAAGTTTGCCGCATGCACTTCATTGACCAAGCGCTCGTGGAACGAACACGTGGAAGCCATGACACTTTCCGTAGCAAATTCCATGCCATGGACAGAGATGAAAGAAATGTTGATGGCCGAGTATTGCCCTCGAGGTGAAATTCAGAAAATGGAACAAGAGCTGTGGAATCTCACTGTCTGAAACGCTGATATAGATGCATACATATCAAGGTTTAGCGAATTGACTCTGCTGTGCCCTGGCATGATCACCTCAGGAGGTAAGAAGATCGAGCGATTCACCTGGGGACTAACCTCCCCGATCCAAGGAAACGTGATAGCTGCAAATCCTGAAACTTTCGACAGTGCCAAGAGATTGGCCAAGAAGCTGTATGACCACAACAACAAGAAGGGTGAGAAGCCAGTGGAGACTGAGGTTAAGAAGGAAAATGATAGTAAAAAGGGAAAGAAAAACAAGAGGAAGGGACGTCAAGGCTCCGAATCGTCCAAGAAGCAGCAAACAGTGGCAGTTAATGCTGCGACCACTCAATTTCCATCCACACCACATGCTCTAGCCTCAGCTGCTCCAGGTGCTCCTAGACCTTATTCCGGTAATCTTCCTAAGTGCAACAAGTGCGGACTCCATCACAATGGAGAATGCAGAGAGATGCAGTGCACCAGTTGCAATCGGAAGGGGCACACGATAAGGTATTGCAGGACCTACCCTCCTCAGAACCAACAACAGGGAAACAACAACAACAATAACCGCAACAACAACAACACCAACAATGGAGACAACAATGCAGGACCTAGCCACACCTGCTATGGATGTGGAAGGACTGGGAATTTCCGTCGAAACTGCCCCAACAACAGCAATCCTGGAAATGGAGGAACAGGAAAGGTGCTGACCATGGGTCAGGGAGAAGCGATTCAGGATCTCGCTGTTGTTACTGGTACATTCCTCCTAAACCACACTTATGCATGCATCCTATTTGATACCAGAGCAGAACGAAGTTTTGTGAGCAATAAGTTTAAACATTTGTTAAAACAACAACCCCAGAAGCTCAATGAAATCTTTATGGTGGAAATGGCCAATGGGAAAATCGAATCCACTGGGGAAGTCTACACCGGATGTACCCTAACTCTAAATCAACACGTCTTCTAAACAGACTTAATGCCTGTTTCCATTAGGAGTTTTGATGTGATTATTGGCATGGACTGGTTACACCCCCACCATGCTGAAATTATGTGTCACGAGAAGGCCGTTTGCCTTCACCTTCCAAATCATGAAACCCTAGTTATTTACGGAGACAAACCTAGCACGAACCTTCGTCTCATCTCATGCGTCCAGGCACAAAAGCATCTGCGAAAGAACGATTTGACGTTCCTAGCGCATATTATGGATAAAACCAAGGAAGAGGTTAATGTTCGAGACATTCCTGTAGCATGTGAATTCCCAGACATATTTCCTGAAGATCTTCCTGGAGTACCCCCAGAGAGAGAAGTTGAATTTCGAATTGATCTTGTTCCAAGAGCTACTCCCATCGCTAAATCGCCTTACCGATTAGCTCCTGCTGAGATTAAGGAATTGTCCAGCCAACTCAGTTAAATCCTGGGCAAAGGATTCATCTGACCCAACTTCTCGCCATGGGGAGCCCCAGTCCCCTTTTGTCAAGAAGAAAGACGGATCTTTTAGGATATGCATTGATTACAGAGAACTAAACAAGCTCACTGTCAAAAATCGCTATCCACTCCCACGAATCGACGATCTATTTGACCATCTCCAAGGAGCCAGTTACTTCTCTAAGATATATCTACGATCTGGATACCATCAACTCATGGTCCGGGAAGAGGATATTCCTAAAACTGCTTTCCGAACTCGTTACGGACATTATGAATTTTTCGTAATGCCCTTCAGTCTAATGAATGCCCCTACCGTATTCATGGACCTAATGAATCGAATCTGCTGACCATTCCTCGATAACTTTGTTATTGTTTTCATTGACGACATTCTAGTCTATTCCCGAAGCGAAGAAGAGCATGGCCAACATCTCCGACAAATCCTAGAAACCCTTCGAACTGAGAAGCTATACGCAAAACTCTCCAAGTGTGAGTTCTGGCTCCGTAGCGTGAACTTTTTGGGTCATATTGTTAGTTAGGAAGGAATACATGTGGATCCTTCTAAGGTCAAAGCCATCGAAGGATGGGCAGTCCCGACAACACCCACATAAATTCGCCAATTCTTAGGACTAGCAGGTTACTACAGGAGATTCATTTAAAACTTCTCTAAGATCGCCAAGCCACTTACCTCGCTTACACAAAAGGGCGTACCATTCAAATGGATGGACAAACAAGAAGTTGCATTCCGAACTCTGAAGCGAGCACTCTGCAGTGCCCTGGTACTATCACTACCAGAGGGAACGGAAGTTTTCGTAGTCTTCTGTGATGCTTCAAACCAGGGTTTAGGTTGCGTTCTCATGCAGCGTCAAGACACACAAAGTGAATTACACAACTCACGATCTAGAGTTGGGAGCAGTGGTCTTCGCCCTGAAGATTTGGAGGCATTAACTTTATGGTACGAAGTGCACCATCTTCACGGACCACAAGAGTCTCCAGCATATCTTGAATCAAAAAGAGCTGAATATGAGGCAACGAAGATGGGTTGAACTATTAAACGATTATGAGTGTGAAATCAAGTACCACCCAGGCAAGGCAAATCTGGTAGCTGATTCCTTGAGCCGGAAAGAGTACTCTAATTGTCGTGTGAAAACTCTCTCAATAAGCATCCAATCTCACCAAACCACTCAGATCAGGGCAACCCAGTCAGACGCCATGAAGGTGGAAAACAAAACAAGTGAAGCGTTACGCGGAATGGAGAAGAATCTAGAGGTGAAAGAAGGTGGAGTATACTATTTCATGAACCGTATTTGGGTCCCTAAATTTGGAGGATTTAGGGAGGTAGTTATGAGTGAAGTTCACAAGACGCGATACTCCATCCATCCGGGTTTGGACAAAATGTACTTGGATTTTAAACAACATTATTAGTGGCCTAACATGAAGGCAGAAATTGCCACCTATGTCAGCAAATGCCTTACTTGCGCCAAGGTAAAGGTGGAATACCAGAAGCCCTCGGGGTTATTACAGCAACTAGTAATTCCCGAGTGGAAATGGGAAGGGATTTCTATGGATTTTGTGACCAAGCTACCCAAGACGTCAGATGGATTGGACACTATATGGGTAATAGTTGACCGAGTGACGAAATCTGCTCATTTCCTGCCAATAAAAGAATCCTACAAGATGGAGAGACTGACATGAATATACATTCGAGAAATTGTGAGGCTTCACGGAGTACTTGTGTCTATCATATCGGATAGAGATAGTAGGTTCACTTCACGTTTCTGGCAATCACTTCAGAAAGCACTGGGAACCCATCTCGACATGAGCACTGCTTATCACCCACATACGGATGGTCAAAGCGAACGAACCATTCAGACGCTCGAAGTCATGCTTCGCGCATGCGTGATAGACTTTGGGAATTCCTGGGATACCTACTTACCCTTAGTTGAATTCTCGTATAACAATAGTTACCATTCGAGCATCAAAGTCGCTCTTTTCGAAGCGCTATATGGACGTAAGTGTAGATCACCGTTGTGTTGGGCTGAGGTGGGCGACACCCAGCTAGCGAGGGAACTGGCATCAGACAAGATGTTAACGGGACCGGAGATCATACGTGAAACCACAGAAAAGATAGTCCAAATCAGAGCTCGACTACAAGCATCGCGCGACCGATAAAAGAGCTACACTGATAGACGGCGAAAGCCCTTAGAGTTTCAGGTCGGGGATCGAGTGCTGTTAAAAGTTTCTCCCTGGAAAGGGTCATTCATTCTGGAAAACGGGGAAAACTGAACCTACGATACATTGGACCTTTCGAGATTCTTGCCCGAATTGGTCCAGTGGCTTACAGATTGCAGCTACCCGCTGAGCTTAGTAGTGTTCACCCCGTGTTCCATGTTTCCAATCTAAAAAAGTGCCTATCCGATGAAACTCTCGTCATTCCCCTTGACGAAATTGAAATCAACAAGAATCTCCTGTTCGTTGAAGAACCAGTCGAAATCATGGACAGGGAGGTGAAGCGTACTAAGCAAAGTCGCATCCCGATTGTGAAAGTACTGTGGAACGCGAAGCGTGGGCAAGAATTCACGTGGGAACGCGAAGATCAAATGAAGAAAAAGTACCCTCATCTATTCTAGCATTCTCAAATCTAGCTTTCAAAAGGAATTTCGGGACTCTAACAGGGGGATGATGTCACAACTAGGAATTTGAAGCCTTGTAAACATTGAACACCGATAACAAATGTAAACCAAAAATGGGAAAGCATGTAAGATGCTTATTCATTAACAACCAAATCTTAATCAAACACATCATACATGCACTGCAAATAGTCAACAAATAATTGGGAACCCTAGAAATCCTTGTTTAAGTCCATTTTGGACTAGGATTTCCTTATTGGGCCCAATGGGCCAATAAGCTTCCAATTGGACAATCTTGGGCTTAGAACTCTTGAATGAGCTCAAATTAGACCCACTTTCATTTATTTTAACATTTTGGGCCATATTGGACCTAGAATGAAATAAAATACCTTAATGGACCTCATTGGAGCCATAACTTACCTAATTAGCCCTAATGGGCCATAAAAATCATTTCTTGATTTATTTTGGGCCAATAGTTATCTAAATTATCTATGATTTGGACTTAGGCATTTAAGGGCCCAATCCTTTCCTTTTTTCTCTCCATTCTCGGCCCAAGCCCAACCAAAGAAGGAGAGTTGACTTTTCCTATGCCACCTCACATTTATCCATAGGTTTCCCATGTACCATCTCATGTTTTCATGCAAATCAACTCAAAAACCTCTCTTCTCTCCCCTCTCTCTTGCTCTCGGCCGAATCCAACCTTCCTTTCTCCCCCTTGCACCCTTGTTACAACAGGCGGGGCATCTGTTGGTAAAAGACTTGAAATTCTCGACAAAGGTGCTAATTGTTTATGAATAATATCTTCATATTGAGTAAACTTATTAGATAAAAACTCAGGAGTTATCAATGGAGAAGAACTGTACTTCGATATTAAAGATTTCAACTTTTTGAATTGATTATTGATCTCAGCAAAACTAACAGATTCTGTGGTAGACAACTCAGAAAGCTGTGGAGTTAAGGCTTCATATAGATTCACGAACTTGGTGACAACCTCATGAATAATGTCAACTTGCTGGTTTAAATCACGTTGCACCACTTCAATTTCTTTTGCCATATCTTCTTGAAGCTATTGAAATTTGAAATTAACATCTTCTCATACCTTTTAAACATCTTGAACAAACAACACATGTATCTCTTTCGCAATCCTTGGAAAATCTTTAACTTCGTCATTAAACATTGAAGATTGAGATTTGATTCGAAGTTCATTATTCTGAACATTTAGATGGACTTTCTCCATTATCCGTGACTCGGATGCTTGAGTAAATCCCGAGCATTTGCTAACCATCCTTGCTTCAACAATTTTAAACATTCCATCAATTTCTAGACTGGACACAGAATTACTTCCCCCATATCTGCTTGAGATTAAATTATTGAATTCAACTTCTTGTTAAGAATCTTGAATTGCTTCATAGACATGAACATGTGATCTGGAAAATTTTCTTCTTCGTCTTCAAATTCAAGCTCTTCGAAAGTTCCTCCAAACCCTGCATCTTCATTCTCAGAATCATCAATAGGTTCGCGTGGCTCATTGGATTGAGGTAGATCAGTGGATTGGGAAGAAAACAAAGTAGTGAATGGTTGGTTAAGTATTTGAGTGAATGTTGGTGAAGATGTTGGAACTGTAGGAATGATAAATTGTGGTAACGAAAGAGAAGTAGTTGATATGGGTTTAGAAGAAACTATTATAGGAATACCTTGGGACAACGAAACATCACTCATTGAAACATGTGCACCCGTATCAAATATGTTTGCAACAATTTTTGAAATTGGAACCTCCTCAGTAACTGATTTGGTTGTCACAACTTCGAGTGGAAGTGTAGAAATCAGCATGGTAACAGAGGAAATAATAAGGGGAGATGAAAGAATTGGATAATGTGAACCCAATGGTGTCTTTGGTATTAGCTCACTTTCATAAGAAAATTCATGAATCACAAACTTTCGTTTCTTGCTCTTCTTACTTATCATCTTCGCCAAATCTTTTGCCCTTCGCTTTTTTGAGGAAGGTAAAATTGGAGCAAGAATTTCTTGAACAAGCACTCCTTTGCGATTTAGTTTAGCTTTACGAACAATTGGAGATTGATCATTAGATGAAGATTGATGCTTATGAGATAAATTCCTAAGACGTTTTAATAATCCAGATTTCGAAGAAATTACTTTCTTCGAAGATTCAGCGACATGTTTCTTCTTAGGCTTCTCAACTTCAGAAATAGCTTTCTTTGGAGATATAAATGTTTTCTTTGGACTTGCAGTAACAAAATCTTTAGCCTCTTTTGTAACCTTGTTCGTTTTCTTAAAGGGACCCACCTTCACTTGTTTTTAACAAAACCCAGTTTCTACTAAAGGATTATCATGCTTTAAATATTCCACTAGGATAAGATTCGTAGGATCAACTTTCTTTAACATGCCATCAAGAATTCAAGCAACACTTGGAAAAATAAATGCATCATCTTCAACTGTTTTAAAAAATGATATTTCACAAACTCTGCCTTGGCTTTATCTTTTGGAAATGAAATACCCTCCTTTTGATAAACTGATTGAAGAATTAGACTCCAATAACGTGCACACGAAATGCCCTTCACCACATTCATATTTTCGAGACTTTGGACAAACTCTTTCCACAGTTGAGTAGCATAATCAACATTGCGATCATAATACAGACCTGCTAGCATTGTATATACTTCCATCCCCTTGTCTAATCCCACACTATGCCCAGTTAAACAACGAAGATAAATTCCAAACATGAAATTTCAGATACAAGGTAGATCGGACTTCTTGAAATTGCTGATTTTTAGAAGAGGTGGCTGATGTCCCATCTCATTAAACATATACATGATTTGAGCACTTGTGAATTGAAAGAATGGAGAAGAATTTAGAATTGATAAGATTTGAGTAAAGTTTTTCTTTGTAAGCCTCGCTCGTTTGTCATTCACCATATTGAATGTGACGATATTAGTGGCTTTGTTGTAAGATGCAGTAGACCTCGCCATTAACAACCAGTACAATGGAACTGCTAATTCATTGAACATTGCAGTGGCAAGACCCGAGTGTTGAAGAGCCACAATTGGCATCTTGAGTTCCTCCGGATATAGTAATACATCATCTTCAAACTGATAGTTGGTGCTTTGAATCTTCATGATTGGTTGAGAAATAACTTCTTCAGTAGTGGTATTCTGAGTATCCGCCGTTGTTGAAAAGTTTGAACATAAATTTTTAAGAACAGAGAATTAGGGCTTTTTGATCTTCTGAAATTTTGAACGCGTAAGTATAAAAGGATATACGGACTTCCTTTTATATGTTTATTGTAAATTTGAAATTGAAACGGTTTGAGAATTAAATGAAATACGACATGGCTCCTTGAAACTCGCACCCTATAACCGATAAACTAGCCATGCGTGAAAAAGCATCCATCACATCACCTTGAAACCCGAAAGGAATACAAAGAGTCTTGTCAAACACCCTTTTTGTACTGTTGAAAGGATTTGTAAATGTCACTATCCTTCGTTAGGAGGTAGGGCTCTTTCACTTTTAGGATGAAAAGCAAAGTCATTTTCCAGAGTTTCGAAATCATCAGCTTGAGTTGGTAATACTCAGAACCTCAAGGATTTCGTGAGTGTAGTGTGCCAAAGAAATAAGACAAGAATGAAACTTAACGAAAATTTGGAATCTGTGATGTTGAAAATTAAAATTTCAACACAAATGCAGTTAAATCCCGGGTAAAGATTTCTTCATTAATCATCAAGAGAAATGATCAACTGCTTATGAGGTTTCCTGTGAAATACAATAGGATACTTATAAAGAACTATCGAAGGGCTTCTTTCTCAAGGTTTCGTGGGTGGCTTAAAATTTCGATACATATCAACCTAAACATAAGGTGATTAATTGTAATCAAAATTACCTATATGACTAGGTAGTCGGTTACAATTATGCTTTGGATAAAAGTGAATGTGACAGTTAAAAGAAAAGATACTCACATGGAAATCATATTCAAAGAAAAATTCAACACGATCTTGTTGGGAAACAAATGTTGTGGGTTTCAAACATTTGATCAAGACCACTCATAATGAAAGAATATGATCTGGAGCATCAAACATTGGTACAGAAACAAACGTTTCATAAAAATCTGGAACATAGTTCCCCATCAATTCCTTAACAAAACTTTAGAAAATTGGGTTTCAATTTCATCACGGTCTAATGATGGAAGATCATTAATACAGAGTGTTAATATGTCTAAGTTTCGACTGGTTTGATCAAAGACCTCTTGGACATATGTCATTGTGTGTGAAAAGTGTAAGAACTTTGTGATGAAAAAGATTGGTTTGAAGAACTCAATTGTACCTCTTTTGTGTTTGGACCAAACAGAAAACTCTTAGCTTATTTGAGAAGAGTTAGGTAGCTCAGAAGACTAATGTGAATACAAGCCTAATTGGGAAGAAATATTTCGTATGAAAAGATTTCATTAAGCCTTTTGGAATCACACATTGAGTCAATGGAGGCTTAAGTCAACATGTTGTAGCATGCTTCTAGGGACAACCTAACAAACACAAAATTTCGAAAATATACCTTGCGCTAGAAATGCTAGCATGCATCTTGAAAGATATTCTTGATTTCTGTACATTAGAAGAAAACCAAAATACAAAATAACAAACATCTAAAAAAATATTTTTGGTCTTTTGTATTTAAAAAAAAAATCTTTTTGTGTTTCTGAAATTTTCGGAAATTAAGACAAATAAAAAAAGAAAATATTTTTGGTTTTTCAAATATTTCGAAGTAAGTAAAAAATGAAAAATAAAAGTTTACCAAACGTTCGAATCTTTTCTTTCCCAAATGTCGAAAGCGACGCATATCGAAGCGTTGATAATGAACAGTAACCGTTGATTTTTCATCCAATAATTTTGTAAAAATATCAGCAAGCTGATTAGTAGTTTTTATAAAATGAACTTCAATATTGTCATCTTTAACATGATCTTTTATGAAATGATAACGAAGTGTAATATGTTTGGTTTCGAATGTTGAACTGGATTGTGACAAATACGTATAACACTTTGTGAGTCACAATATAATGAAATCTTTTTTGTGTTTATTGCATAATCATGCAGTTGAGTTTAAATCCAAATGATTTGTGATGTACAAGCTGCAGCAGCAACATATTCATCTTCTACTGTCGAAATTGAAACACATGTTTGCTTCTTCGACTGCCAACTTACCAATTTCCCATCTAGTAACTGATAACCTCCACTTGTGCTTTTCCTATCCAAATTGCAACCACCTAAGTCAGCATCCGAAAATGCTTGAATGAAAAATCTTATTTTCGAAGGATACCACAATCCTAACAAATTGATCCATTAAGATAACGAAAAATATTCTTGACTGTAGTGAGATGTGGTTCTCGCGGATTCGACTGATACCTAGCATAATTACAAAAAAAAAAAAAAAAAAAAAAAAAACATGATATCAGGTCTACTTGTTGTGATATGAAGTAACAAACCTATCATGCTTCTGTAAAGAGTCAAGTCAACAGTAGATTTATCTAACGAAGGTGTCAGCTTATTGCCAGTTGCCATTGGTACTCATAAGTTTGTGCTATTTGTCAATCCAAATTTTTCGAGCAAATTCTTGGTATATTTTTCTTGGTTGATGAAAATTCCTTCTCTGTTTTGACGAATATTCAAACCAAGAAAATTATTGATTTTTCCTATCATACTCATCTCAAATTTTCTTTTCATCAAATTTTCAAATTCTTTAGACAAAGTAGGATCAGTAGAGCCAAAAATAATATCAACATAAATTTGAAAAAGCATCAAATGATTCCCAACTTTCTTTTGAAATAATTTGGGGTCAACTGATCCTTGTTTAAATTTTGATTTTCTCAAGAAAAAAGTAAGAGTTGCATACCAGGCTCGTGGTGCTTGTTTTAACCTATAAATTGCCTTATCTAAAATATAACAATAATCAGGGTGTTCTTCATTTATAAAACCTGGGGGTTGTTCTACATACACAGTCTCTTCCAACTCTCCATTCAAAAATACACAATTCACATCCATTTGATAGACATTG